CACTGCCCACACCTGGATTTTAGCCAGTGAGAGCCATTGTAGACTTCAGACTTCCAGCAATGTGAGAAAATAAATTGATGTTTCTTTCAAACTGCTAAGTCCATGGTTATTTTATAATGGCAGCCACAAAAAACAAATAGAGGTCTTTCCTGGTCATCTTATGTAAAATAGTTTAAGACTCACCACTGCACTTACAATGTATTTTTATAACACCTTAGGGTTTTTTTTTTTTTTTTTTTTTTTTCCTTCACAGTTTCATCGTAGATTTTCCTTCTTTCTTGACATCTGGTTGGCAGCCTTGTATTGGCAAAGATCAGATGGTGTGGTGACATTGTGCTTGAAAATGCCATCTGGTAATGAAGAGGTGGAGAAGCAGGCACTCTCATTACTGCTGGGATTGAGCAAACTGTAGTAATCCTTCCGAGAACAATGTGATGCTCTTTCTCAATATCCCATGGGCACAAACTCGGCAACTCCACCCCGGGTGCTCAAGTTCTGTGTTTACCTACAGATTTGCGCACACACGAAGTGACTGGAGGACTAGCAGTGGGATTTAATGGCAGAAGAATGGAAACAGCGTATGTGTCCATCAATGGTCTGTGGATTGGAATAAATCACAGTGGACCCATGCAATGGGACACTGCCCAGCCATGTAAAACGTCAGGTGCTCTTTACGCACTGGTACGGAATGATTCCCAAGAGAAAAAGTGGGAGTGGCCCACTGTCATCATGGAAGAGAGAGCGGACAGAGAGATGGTGTGAGTGAATTTTCTTGTCTACACGGGCTGTCTGTGGGAAGTCGTATAAGCATCTGGTCAGATGGGTGGTCTCTGAAGAGAGTCACTAGAGGGTATGGGATGTGCTGGGGGCATTTTCACAACCGACCCACGTACCTCTCACTTAATGGGGGAATCATGGTGTCTCCTGTCCTGCCCCTAGATGCCCAAATCATTTTCACAGTTGAAAAGATAATGGAGCTTTTGGAAACAGGTGTAGATGAGTGATAAACAACAGTTTGAAGATAAAGAAATGCAGTTTTTATGTACCAATGTCATTGAATGAAGGTTTGTTTTACTTTCCAAAGGAGGAAGGGGACTTGCTGGGGAGGTGGGGGGTGGGGAAGGGATGTTAGGGAGCCTTTCAAGAATTGTGTTCTGTCTGCACCATTTCTTCATCGACTTCAAACTTTCAGAGTCTTATAGTTATTTTGCCTTCAAATACCACTCAAAAATGAAGCTATATTGCAGAAAATTACCTTTAGGGCAAAATCCAGGCTCCACAGGAGAAGCTTTAGGACACGTGGAAATGGCCCACCTGTGCCACAGATAACAGTGCTGTAGGAGACTCCCTCACAGAGAACACAGGCGGAGCAATAGCTTTGCGTTTCCTCCTCCTTGGCAGGCCGGCCAAGAGCTTCCTTGTGACAGACTCTGACCTGGATCTGTTGTGTGGAATACCTGCCTTAGAGAGGTGTAGAGTCAATGCAAAGGTCTTGTTTATATGTGTGTTTGAGATGAGAAAAATGAGCATGTTAGTTTTCGGACAGAAAGGTTCCTATAGAAAAGCAAAGATGAATGATGCAAGAGAGAGACAGTGAGAGCGAGTGAGGAGAGGAGAAGAGAGGAGGGGAGGGGAGGGGAAAGGAGGGGAGGGGAGGGGAAAGGAGGGGAGGGGAGGGGAGAGGAGGGAAGGGGAGGGGAGAGGAGAGGAGAGCAGAGGAGAGGAGAGGAGAGGAGAGACAGATGGGAAAACAGACCAATGAACCAGGGCCCTTGAAAAAACAAGAGGGCAAGAGAGCCTAGGAGCCAAGCACTTTGGCCTTGGATGGGTGAGAGGCTTTTCCCTGACATATCAAGAGGAGGGTGGAGAATTCGGAGTGTGCCAGCCACCATTGCTTACGTGACTAGAGCTGGAGATGTCATTCTTGGCTCTTAGCACCGTTCCCTTCACTCTCTATGAAGTGTAGCAACAGTCATCTCTCTAGAATAGAAAGTGGTGATACCCCGCTCTGTAAAACATTTTTCAGTGACTCTTGATCACTCTTCAGCCGTCTTCAGGACCAAACTGAAACTCCCTCCTGACTCTGCCCCTGCCCATCTCAGCATTCTCATCCCACCCCCTACCCCACATCCTCCTGCCAGGCCAGCATTTGCTTTGCAGTCTATCTAAAATTTCTTAAAAGCATCGTTCAGTTTCTCCAGAACTTAGGAAGCACAAAGATGTTTTAAAAGTTGTTGCAAGTCAGTTCGTTTTTGCACAGCAGATTGTAACAGCTGAAAAGCAGTAACTGGAATCACTTATTTGTGACTTCTTCCCTTTTGGAACCCATCAGTTCTTCTGACCGATGCTCCCCTCCTCTCCCCCATGATTGACAAGGAACTCCCGCTCGCCCATCCTTCACACCTGGAACAAGTGGTCTTCCTGGAAGCCTCCGCAGCCCATGAGATGAGAATCCTTCACTCCTTCCTCTGCCGGTCCATGCCCATCTCTGCTGCTGCTCACATACATTTTACTCCCCAGTGGTCTCCTCTCCACCGAGCATTTTTAAAGTAGGGAATTAATTGTGCATTTCTGCAGTGCTAGCAAAGAAACAATAGTAGACAATGCTTTTTTATTTTTACTATTTTTCTGGAATGAGGGGTAGGATGAAAGGATGGGTGGATGCTTGGATTAGTTGGGATGGTAGAATGGTCTCACCATCGGGTTGCATTCAGTGTCCAAGTGCTTTAGGATGTGTTCAAGCGCTAACTAGAATGGATAAGCAAAATAGCAGCCATAGTCACTGAAATACGTGCAGGTGTAATTTGCCTGCTGAGCAGTTCTTGGCCATTTCTACATAGAAGTCTGGCCTCAAGGAAGATCCAGTGTGTGTCTGGCACATCAACTCATAATGTCGTGATTAAATGTGTTTCTGCCTCAAATGCTTTGATGAAATATTTAGCAATAGGAGAGCCACAAGTGGGCTTTTTAAGGCCTGATATTGACTTGATCATTGACTTTCTGATCTTGCTAGCATATAAATAAGGGGTAGATGAATTAATTTGACTACATTTGTGTTCTGCCATAAGGGATGACTTGGGGGAAACTGAGGCCCTGAAAACAAATTATTTTCTTTTGATCAAAACCAATACTCTGCAGGTCTACGTAAAACGAGTCAAATTCATGTCTGTGCCAAGGAGCCTGAGGGTAGCACAGGCTGAACCCCAGAGGTGAGGAGCTCTCGCGGTGGGACGCACCCCTCGTCACTGTCCCTCCCAAGGTCTGCAGAGGGGCCCTTTGTCCCTCCTGCCCATCTGTGAAAGAAAAGTAGAAAACACCTATTGTCACCTCTCTGCCTGACTGCGCAGTGTGGAAGCGACGGGCTATTTTAGAACTTACGACATGACTAGTTTACTAAGGGATTCTGAGCATAGAGGCTTATTTCTTCATCTCTAATTATTGGTTATCTAAAAACCTGGGCTGCTGCCCACGTGAGCCTATTTCATAATGAGCTGCAGGTGAGGGGCATACAACGCTTGCTCGCCGGTGCCCATGTGAGCCTACTTCATAATGAACTACAGGCGAGGGTACACAGCGCTTCCTCGCCAGTGCCCATATCTAGACATCCTTACGCAGCTCAGGCATCTTCATGTCGACCTTTCTGCCGTAATTAAGATGCCTAACTACCATGCACATTCCAGAGAGACAAGCAGTAAGCACTCCGGTGACCTTTTCACAGGAGGAATTCCAACGCACCTGGTGATGAAACCAGCTAAGCAGGTGAGGGTCCTGGCAGCTTCTTGGTTTCCAGAATGTTCATGTTTCAAGTATCTGTCCAGTGCTAGGTTTGGAAGGGAAGGCGATGGTAAAAGAAAGAGAGAATTGGCAGCTCTCCAGCGATTCAGGTTCTGTGTCCAGCCTAAGACCTGCAGAGATGGGGGACCAGGTGAATGCCAGTGCTGACCTCGGCTTACAGGCTGGGGTAATTATAGGCCTGGGCGGGAGGGGCCTGGTGGGTATGGCCTGCTTCCCAGGAAGATGTTGATAGGATATTCCATGGCAAGGTGGTGCGGCCCTGCTTTTGGGGGAATGTGATAGAATGTTCCTTGGGATCTTTGCTCAGCAGGATCTGATGAGGATGATCCTTCAGCTGGGGCTTTGCCAGGCAGGGGATGATGAGATCTTAAGTCAGGTGGTTGGGCAGGATGTTTCTTATGGCCTGACACCCATGGAATATTTCTGTTTGACCAGGGTCTGCAAAATGGGGTGGGGCTCACAAAATGGTGCAGTTTGAGCTAATAAGCAGCATCAACAGAAATAAAGGAACAACAAACACTGAGTGCCCAGCCTCCTTCACAGCACCGTGTAATTCCATCCGCACAACCAGTAACGCCTACATCACTGCCTTTCCCATTTCAGAGCGGTAAGCAGGGAGGGTTGGTGTCAAAGTTACTTCTAAGATCCAGTAGAATCGCCCTTCCAGTGCTCTCTTTCTGGCTGCAAGACATATAAACGGAATTACAGTTTTCAAAGATAGAAGTTTTAGCTTTTCCCTCCCTTGACACGTGGGATAGCCTGAGGAGAGAGGATGGACTCTGCAGTCATACCGATGTGCACTTACACATCTGTAAATTCCACTCTCTGCTAACTGACCGTGGGCAAATGACCCCACAGGACCTCAATTCCCCACTAGCAAACACATAGATAATAATAAAAAGCGACTCAACGATCACTAAGTGACTGGCACCTGCTCTGTGCTGGTTCTCCAGGTACAGTTGGGTGGGTTACACACTGTCCAATCTGCACATTTCTATAGCAGATGCCTGATGCTGCACATTTCTATAGCAGATGCCTGAAGACCAGTTATCTTTTGCCCCCTGGGCTTTGGAGAGGAATTAGGGAATGCGAGAATACTTTGATATTTTTCAGATCACGAAAAGTGTTTCACTTTAAAAAGTAAGCAAGCAAACACCAGTACTCCCTGTTCCAGAAAGTCGCAGGCACAGAAGAGGGGAGGGGTTGGAGGGCGGTTCCACAGCAGAGGCTGTGCCTGGTTGCTCAGCAGTGAGGGAAGCTAGGAAGGGCTTAGAATGTTTGTGGTTTCCACGGCGACAGCCCAGCCCAGGCAGTTGAAGGGAAGTCATGGCGGAGGAGCTGGAGCCTGAATGTAAGTGGCCTGGAGTGGCTCTTGCTGGCTTGTGAGATTTGCTTGATGTTCAATTGTGGAGGGATGGGCTTCTGAAGCGATTTTGGTGCCTCAGCCTCCGAGTAGCTGCGATTACAGGCACCGCCACCATGCCTGTCTAATTTTTGTATTTTTAGTAGAGACAAGGTTTCGCCAGGTTGGCCAGGCTGGTCTCGAACTCCTGATATCAAGTGATCCACCCGCCTCGGCCTCCCAAAGTGCTGGGATTACAGGCGTGAGTCACCGCACCCAGCCTGATTTGTAATAATTTTGACATTAAAGACCTATTGTCCTATCCTGGGGTCGGTGGCGGGCGGGGGGAAGGATACATTTCCAAAGAAACAAATAAAAAACCTCTGTTTAAAAAGGTTTAATACTACATTTTGGCAATATGTATTAATCCAAATGTAGTCTAAAGACCTATTACTACATGTTTCTATTCAATACGCATTCAAAAGTTGGTTTGGTTTTACTGACAGCAAATTTGTTTTCAGATCATTTGTAAAAGACTCTTATTTTCCAATAAATTCTTAAGACTTTCATTTATTGTTTGTTTTCTCTCTCAGGCAGAGATGGCAGGATACACACACACACACAAACACACACACACACACACAATGTTTTCAGATAGGAAAAGAAAATATTTATTGCCACGATGGGGATTCATGGCATATATTACAAGAACACGGCAGACAGAAGTTTCCAATTCTCTCTGGAGCAGGTCTTATTACAATCAAAAGAAAAAGCATTTGAAGTGGGAAAACGATTGTGTCGATTGACTTGCTAGTGGCTTCAAATCCTTCTTGGAAGTAAAATAAACAAAGGATAACACAACAGCAACGAAGTTGCCTCCTTCTTCCATCTTCCATAGAGCTGGTACAAGGTGCCTTTTAGAGCTTTAAGTGTTCATGCCTTTGATGAATTGCAATGATCGCTGTCTTGGAGAATTTGTTCTGTTAATCATTTAAGCGGTTGCTCTGAAGGACTAAGCTGATCAACAGGGTGATTCTCTAGCAGCCCTCTGCTGAAAGTATTGGTTCCAGTATTCAGCTGCCTCGGTGGACTCGGGGAAGGATGGTTTGCGTCGCAATGGACGGAGGAAATGTCTCTGAGGAGGGTATGGATGGGCCTGCTGCCCTTTGGGCATCGCAGTACACAGTGTCCCAGAAAGAAATTCTTCCTCTTAGGTTAGAAAACAGCAAATAAAGGGGGCAAATCTGGGCTCCTCCTGTTCTATCTGTAGTGTTCAGTAACATGTTGCCTACACGCTAGACCTGCAGCCAAAATGGGTAGAATTTACAGAGTATCTCTTCTAGGCCATGTGCCTCTTTGCCAAAAGTGATTCCATCTGCGTGTCAATCAACCATTTTGTTTGAGACGATGATTCTGATGTTGCAGAGGAGGCAACTGCGGTTCCACAGCCCTAGGGGTTGGCTCTGTGGGGATGGTGCAGGAAGGGGTGAGCCAGCCACTGGTCACTGAGGGGTTTAGTCAGGGACTCCTGAGACGTTTTAGCATTTAACTGAGGGTTTTAACCAAAACCTTTTCTGTGTTCCCCTGCATGTGAAATACATTAAAGAAGTCATCTTTAAGCATCGTCATTAAGAATTATAATTAAGATTGTACACTTTTCTTCCAGAGCCTTTGCTAATATTGTAAGAAATACTCCACCAAATTAAGATATTCTGTCTTTTTCTTGTTGGCTTTGAGGGCCCGGAGCTCTGGGGCTGGCTTGTACACCCTGGGGGCCTGCCGGCCTCTCATCTGCACCAACATACTAGATCAGCCACGGGTGTCTTTGACTTTTAAGGGCCAGGCCATGTACTCTGTTAGTCTGTTTCTCTGTAGACCCTCTTTTGGGCAGGGGCTACGCCTCTCAGCCGGTGCACCAGCTGACTTACTGTGGAACTAAGAGCGATCCCTAAGAGTCTCCTTTTCTTTTCTGACCAGTGTACCTGAAGTGGAAGCACTGCAAGACGCCAGGCGTGAAGACCCTGTGTAATCTGAAGAAACTTCTGAATCGGCTTCAGAAAGACCACCGGGAGGACGTCTACCTCTACATCTCTGGACACCTGAACCCCAACAAGCTCTACCGACCTCCTGAGACAGTCTTACAGCACTGGCCCAATGCCCACCGGCCCAAGGGGGAGCGTTCCTCTGAGGTGGGAGAGCTGCCCACAGGGAAGGTGGTGAGGATGAAGGAGGCCCTGGCCCACTTCACCATCCATACAGCGCTGGTCCCCAGTGAGGCCCAGGACACCCCGCTGTTCAGGTACCTGAACCCCCAGGCCTCTCTTTCCCACACGTTAGAGGAGGATCTCTTTCCAGTAGAGGTTCTCCGAGAGGGGAAGGAAGAAAAGAAAGGAGGCCCTCCTGGACGGGGCCCTCCTGGATGGCGCAGGAGGGAAGAACTCCGGCTGCCCGACGTGAAGGTGCTGCGGTACCAAGAAGCCGGGCCCAGAGGCTCCAGGGACCGGCACCACTATGTCAGCTCCTACCTGGCGGGGGCCACCAACGCAGACAGGTACAGGATGTTCCTGCGTTTCCAGAAAGAAGTGCTCGCCAAGCAAGATCTCCTGAAGAATGACTTCACTGGGAGCAAGGTGGCCGTGGGCCACGAAAGAAAGCTACAGCAGGTGAGGAGGGCGGCCCTGCGGTGCTCTCAGGGCAGTGCTCTCCGGGCAAAGCTCTCGGGGCAGCGTTCTCAGTGCAGACCTCGCGGTGCAGCGCTCTTGACGCAGTGTTCTCCGTGCGGTGCTCTCGGGTCAGTGCCCTTGGTGCAGCGCTCTGGGTGCAGTGCTCTCCACGCAGAGCTCTCGGGTCAGTGCTCTCCGTGCAGTGCTCTCGGGTCAGTGCTCTCCGTGCGGTGCTCTCGAGTCAGTGCCCTCGGTGCAGTGCTCTGGGTGCGGTGCTCTCCACACAGTGCTCTCCGTGCAGTGCTCTCGGGTCAGTGCCCTTGGTGCAGCGCTCTGGGTGCAGTGCTCCGGGTCAGAGACAGCCACGACTGTGAATTGAGGTTCGTCCTCTGAGGCCTCCCTGATACGTCCCGGCAGAATGCAGTACTGTGCCAGGTGCGGAGAGCATTAGTACTTTCAGTGGGTACAGTTTGGGTGAAATGAAGGAGAACGCCTTCTGGGAACTGGTCAGCTGGGGGAGGCCCATCGTGGACGCATTGGAGGCCATGTGGCTGCAACAGTAAGTCAGATGTTTGTAGGTCAGCAGAGGGTCTGAGAGAGGAGGGCTTCCCTGCCTGACGGTGGAAGAATGGTGAGGGCAAAGGGAGAGCTGATGGGCACTGTCACACCCTGAGGTATGCCCAGGCAACACGTGTGTACAGAAAGTGCCAGTGTGAGGGGAAGATCTACGGTGGGCTGCCGACTCAGAGGAGAACAGCTGACTGGAGGCATCATCTCTAAATGGGGACATGCACGAAAGAGAAGAAAATAACAGGCCTCCAGGAAGCAGCCAGGCCTTGGGGTTGGAAGGGAGAAAGGGCCTTGGGGGACTGTGGAGGCAGAGAGTGAATCCTTGAGTACTGGGAGCAAGGGAGTCAATAAAGAAGAAAATATTTTTTTAAAAAATCCAGAATCTTGGGTGACCAGGGAGACAAAGAAGCTCAGCAAATGGTGGGAGGGATCAGAACCTCCGGGACTGGCCCCCTGTGCCGCCCTGCCCACTCGCCAGGGTGATGACAGCTGTGTCCTCCCTGACTCCTGAGAAATTCGGTTCTGGAAGAAAAATGAAGCCACCCTGAAATGGGCTGACTCTGTTTTTCCTCCAGGAGCTCCAGAAAATTTGTACCTGCAGCCGTCAACAGTTCAACAGACTGCACGTCTTTAGAAAAGTCTTTGAAGATATTTGTAACAGTTCTTTGATATTTGGTGATCTCTTGAAAAAAGTTAAGGTAAGACACATCCACCTTCAGCATAACAGTTGAGAAGCTTGCATGAGGTTCTGTGTCCATGAATGATCTCAAGCCTCACTGAAATTCTGCTAGGTGTCACAGGCCCCCTTCTACAGACAGGGACCATCACTCACAGAGACTGGAGGTTATCTGCCTACAGGGACATAAATTATAAAGGGGCCATGTGGAATCAACACCCAGTCAGCTCATTCCTTAAGCCCATGTTTTCCCACTAAAGCTTCCTAATTATACATAACCTTTTATAAATTGTACATAACTTAATTATTATAATTCAAATAAATAAATAATTAATTTAACATTACATGTGTAATTTTATATGAATCCTTATGGAATTATAGATTTGTTGTAATTTCATGATGAAAGAGATTTTTGGGTGCTGTGGCTTATGCCTGTAATCCCAGCACTTTCAGAGACTGATGCAGGCAGATCACTTGAGGTCAGGAGTTCAAGACCAGCCTGGCCAACACGGTGAAACCCCATCTCTACTAAAAACACAAAAATTAGCTGGGCATGGTGGCACGTGCCTGTAATCCCAGCTACTCAGAGGCTGAAGTAGGAGAATCGCTTGAACTTGGAGGCAGAGGTTGCAAAAAAAAATGAGACAATGTCCTTCACATGGAACCTAAGTTGAGATTATGTTGCTTAAAGACCATGCAATTATTTAATTTCCCTAATGACAAGGACTGCCTAACAGTGGAGACCTGATGACCTGTTTTCCAGCGATGCCTCACCACTGGGAAGCTCATCCTGGCAGGCCAGCAGGACCTGAATCCACAGAGTTTCTGCATGGCAGGAGATAATTTGTGGTATTTGTGTCAAGGTGTTTTGTGACATTCTGAAGTGATCAATATTTTATATTTTATCCCATGGCATTTTATGATATTCTGAGGTAATCAATACTTAATGCTCAAATATGCTTCAAAGATGGTGTGATTTTATCCATGTGAGCACGTATACCGTTTAATGCATTGTAGGAACATTTTACGTTTTTCTGAAATGATCTAAATGAACATTCTTGACTTCCATGTTATTTATACACATAAAACACCTGTACTGTGGCCTCCTCATGCATGGCCAGTGGACTTTGTGTTTGTTTCTGTACAGGATGAATATGAACTCTACATGGCAACGCTCCTGGAGTCCCAGCCCACAACACAGTACAAGGTGATGATCGATCGCGAAGAGCCTGAATAGAGCCTGCTTATTCCTAGCTTCGTATTTCACGAGCAGTGGAAACCTTTCTGAATCCAAGAAGCCCCATGTGTGCCCCATAATTTAGAATAGTGATTTTTTATTATAGATAAGCTTTATACTGCCTTAATAACATTATTGATAAAGAAATTTCCTTTAGATTGGCATAGCATTATTTATACTCCCAAACAAGCAACATAACTATGTATAAATTGGGAATATAAATGGTTCTCTGCCAGTAGTTTCCAAAAACCATTGTCGAGTCATTATCCCGGTGAAAACACTGCGAATGTGTTGTGAGGGCTAGCGTGCTGTCAGCTGACTCAAACCCCATGATCTCTTTGTTTAACGGGGGACGGTGTGCCAGGTGCTCCCTCTAGGGTTGGGTTAAACATGTGGTTGGTCAAATAAGAAAATATACTGCTGGAATAACTCAATCACTTATAAAACCTAAGAACATCTAACACTGTAGCTAAGATAACTTTGGTATTTTGAATTCAATACACTTTAAAGATTAATTTTATTTCATAAATTAGGAGAGATAGTTGCTTCTTTTGTATATGAGCAAACAACGACAGCATTGCAAGGAGATCAGTTCTAGTTTGCTTCTTCATTTAAAATAAGATGTGAGTACCATTTGCTTTGTGCTGAGCCTTTTCATAACGCGGAAGCAGCCTTTGTCTTTACAAGAATGAGCAAAGGCTCCAGTGGGGAATCTACCTTGTTCCTTACATTTTGAGATTGAGTCAAAAAGTGGCATACATCCCTATCTCGGTCAAATGTGAGCATGAAGAAATTCCCAAGCCAGCAGGGCCCTGGATACCTCTTTCTGTGTCTGTAACCCTGGCAGCGCTTCCCCTAAGAGGCAGAGATCTCTGTTGCTCCTCATTTGAGCACAGCACTGCTTTACATCTGCGGATGGCAAGCACATTCACATGGCTTCTCATTCATGTAGAAGAAATGATTGCGGTGCCACTAACAATGTGCCTCCAGGGCTTTATCCAGCATGTCCTTCCCCCCACACAGGCCAACAGGGAAATTCCCTACCATCTTTCCATTTCTTAGAAAAATAAACTCTGAACATACTGAAAAAGGTATTTTAACGGAAACTTCACTGATTGGCCATTCCTCCCCCAACAGCCCTCCCTCCCTTAAATCCTCCCAATTTACCTGTTTTCACTAGAATGTATATGTTAACCTAGGGCACCTTGAAAACGAATTAATGACAAATAAAAAAGGGAGTCCTCCCGCCCTCCCTGTGTGCTTGTCTCACCTCATGTGCCTGGTCCTGCCTAGGCTCTTCTGGCTCAACTGAAGGCGCTGGGGCAGAAGCCAGTGAAGACGGCAGACATGGATCTCGCCAGGGAAGAGCTGAGGATGCTCGTGAGAGCCACAAAAGCAGCCCTGGAGCAGAATGATAGGTGAGGCATGAGTGACTGATCTGATCTATGTTTAGATTCTCCTGTAACAAGATCTGAAACCAATGTGACAAGCCTACAGTTACACTGATTTCTGCTTTGTTGAAAACATGCTACTTTTGCTAATATCATTCCTGTCATCTGGCCACTCCTACAGGCCATCACCTATGTGACTAAGACATTCTTCTAAGTATGGTGTGTCCATCGGGGGAGTTTGGGTTTCTGAAGGAATCTCCTGTCTTTTTTGGTGGTCCCCTGAAGACTGACTGATAGGCGAGAGGGAAGCAGCTCTAAGACACCTTATATGAATGCCCTTATTGTTTAACTTACAAAACTCTTCTAATATAACCTCTCTGTGTCATTTTCCAGAGTCAAATCACAATTGGATAGGGCATACTGTTTGTATGATTTGAAAAAGATTAAAGGAAACCCGCAACATCCAAAATGTCTTCAAGAGCACAAAACAAGAAACAAAACCAAAAAACAAAATTTGCCTTCTAGTGTAACTAGAAGACAGAGAACTGTTGTATTTGTTGCTCCATTTTTTTTTTTTTTTTTAATGGAGCCTTGCTCTGTAACCCAGGCTGGAGTGCAGTGGGGTAACCTCAGTTCGTTGCAATTTCCATCTCCTGGGTTCAAGCCTCCCAAGTAGCTGGGATTAAAGGTGTGTACCACCACACCTGGCTAATTTTGTATTTTTAGTTGAGTCAGGGTTTCACCACGTTGGCCAGTCTGGTCTTGAACTCCTGACCTCAAGTAATCTACCTATCTTGGCCTCCCAAAGTGCTGGGATTACAGGCATGAGCTATCACACCTGGCCTCCAATTTGGTCTTGAGGTCTCTCTCACAAGGGTGGCTATGAACTCTAGCCCTCCCCTGATGGGGCTTCGGGGGCTGGTGGAGGATGTTCTCAGGGTACTCTTCATGGGATGTGTCTTCATCCTAGCCTTCAGGCTTAATGCCCAAGTGTCTGACCTGTGACCAGATATTCCTCTCACAAGAAACCCAACTACACTGACAGAAGCCCTCGTGGCCGTTGTCTAGTGTGTATCCAGGTTATTCCTACCAAGATAGCCAGTCTTTAGGAGAGCCCTGGCTGGTAAAAGGTGACGTTCAAGTGTGTCCATCAGGTGAGGCACAGAGAAGGCCACAGAACAAAGCACATTAAATAGCAGATTTGTTACTTACAGATCCCAGAGAAAAGAGGGCAGCATGCCTCTCAGGGGTGGTAGGAAGTAGGGAGCTGCCTGAAACACACTCGCTCCATCAGCAGGTAGGGGAGCAAGAGAGAGAGTGAGGACCAATGGACCAAGGCTTTTGTTTGGGTCTAGAGTGTGACCCTAGCAGGTTTTCCAAGGGGAATTCTGATCAGTGGGTTTAGGGCAAGAAGGCATGAGGTCTGTGGGGTCACACACACTATGATGGAGAGTGGTTTCTGGGTCACTGCAGCATATTCTCATGGCCCATGCAGGGCGTGGGGGTCAGTGGGTTGAGGAAAGTGGGTTGTATTTAGCTGTCTCATAGTGGGTGATCACTGGGAGGTGGTTGTTTAAGGCAGATATCTGGACTGACCATTTTGAAGCACTGGGAGGAGGAGAAGCACAAAAAACTGTGTCAAGCAATGCTGACTGAGCCCTGTTTCTGGAGTGAGAAAATTAAACTTCTGTTCAAAGTGAACGCCAAGGCCAGAAAGAAGAAAAAAAAAAAAAAAAAAAAAAAACTGAATTCATTGCAAATGCATCCAAAGTTTAAAAATGACTGAAAATAGAAAAGAAAACATTCAGTGGCAGTGAACCAGTTTCCATGTTCCTTCTGCAAAGCTTTGTTTGTGAGAGCAAGTGAGGTTTTGGGAAAAGTTCATGGAAGAGGGAACAGTGGAGCTAGAAGGAGGTCTAAAATTGTTCTAACACCACTTCCAGGGAGAGAATCCATGTAAGTGAGAAAGCCACACAGCTGTACTGCTGGGCTGATGGCAGCACTGACTATGATGGCAGGGGTGTGGTGGGGTGGGGTGGGGTTACTTGGAAGAGGGTAGAAGTGAGAATACAATTTTGAAATGGCAATAATACATGTGAGAAGGGAGTTAAAGGAAAGGGAGCAGAATCCTTTAGAAATGTCCAATGAAGGCAAAAGGGAGCAAGAGAGGAAAATGTAAAAACCCATAAAAAGAGGAAAATCAAGGTGCACACAACCCTTCCACATACTGTCCTTTTCCCTCTAAACAAGCAAGGTATTCAGGACTATCAAAGGAAATCAAAACAAAACAAAACAAAAAAACAAAAACAAAAACGAAATCAATAATAAAATAGCATAATTTGCTACACTGATGGAAAAGTATCCATTTGAATTAGCAATCTCACATACTACTCCAAATCACTAGTCCAGCCTGCAAAAATGCAGAGGTGTAAACAATCTTCATCTATACAAACTACTATGAAAAAAGAACAGAAAATGAGAATCCAAATGATTTACCTGATAAATAATAATATTACCAAGGAATAATAATAATAAAGTTGAACAAGAAGAAAACTGTAGCACAGCACTCCAAGCTAAATTAGATGTTCCCAAAAGAGCATTTCAGCATATGAAAACAATCTTGAGTCATCAATTGAAAAACTAAGGAGAGAAAACAACAATAAAGAAGAAATAAAACAACATAAAAACTGAGGGAAAAATAGTTGAAAAAGTCAGAATCAGGTCAAGACTAAATTCTGAAATACCCAAGGAAGAGTAGTTTTGAATGAAAATATAATAAGGGGCATTGGGAAAAAGTGGAAAAATATTGAAAAGAATGTAAATGAGATACAGAAATAAAAAGAGTCAGAAAAAGTAGATGAAATAGACATAAGCAAAGAATGTCCAATTCACGTATAATTAAAGTCCCTGAAGAAGAAAAACAAAGCAATAGAACACAAACCTAAGTGATAGTTATAACTATAATATGTAAAACTTTTCTGGAAATGAAACTTTCTTACTATACATATTGAAAAGACTTTCATCGTTATTATTAATCCATTGAATCCCCAGTTTCTTAATTTTTTTTCTTTGCAACAGGGTCTTGCTCTGTTGCCCAGGCTGGAGTGTAGTGGCATGATCATGGTTCACCGCAGCTCCAACCTCTCAGGCTCAAGGGATCCTCCCACTTCAGCCTCCCAAGTAGCTGGGACCACAGGCACCACACCTGACTAATTTTTGTATTTTTTTTTAAGTAGAGATGGAGTTTCACCATGTTGCCCAAGCTGGTCTCCAATTCCTAGGCTCAAGTGATCCACCTGCTTTGGCCCTTCAAAGTACTGGGATTACAGGCATGAGTCACTATGCCTGGCTCCAGTTTCTTAAAATTGAAGGTCATAAGAACCACTCTATTTCTCTCTTAATCTGTGATGAAATGAACTAATATGTGTAAAAATCTTAAACTCTTAGGCCCTTTGTAGACATTTGACATTAAATTATTTGCATGTTGATGTTTTAAATCAAATCACAGTGTTGTCCTCAATATATGTAATACCTGCTAGACTCCTTTTTGTTTTCTCTTTGAATCTATAAAACATAAGATAGTTGATGTAGGTTACTCTGAACCAAGCAGAGGAAACAAAGAGGTTTTTCCCCTTTTCTTTTTTTTTTTTTTTTTTTTTTTTTCTTTTTTTTTTTTTTTTTTTTTTTTTTTTTTTTTTTTTTTTGAGATGGAGTCTTGCTCTGTCACCCAGGCTGGAGTGCAGTGGCCCAATCTCGCCTCACTGCAACCTCCAACTCCCGGATTCACACCATTCTCCTACCTCAGCCTCCCAAGTAGCTGGGACTACAGGCCCTCGCTACCACACCCAGCTAATTTTTTGTACTTTTAGTGGAGACGGGGTTTCACCATGTTAACCAGGATGGTCTCAATCTCCCGACCTTGTGATCTGCCTGCCTTGGCTTCCCAAAATGCTGGGATTACAGGCATGGGCCACTATGCCCAGCCTCTTGTATTTTATTTTTAATTCAAACATAGTGAAATTTGTAAATTGTATCTTTTGCACAGAATAAAAATACACAGGAAATATGCAGTGTATTTCAGCATCAGGAACGTCTTTCCATAGCCCTTGACATGTTGTTTGAGTGTAAAATGCTACTTTTTTTTTTTTAGTTTTTTAAATTTTTTTTGCGTTCTTCCTTCTTAGCAATTCCATTAACAAAAAATATCAATAAACTCTATAGGAAATCATTTACTTTAAATTAACTAACTCTTTAAAGGCTTATGCAATCTTGGTAAGAAAGTATTATTTTGTTTGTTTAACTTGACTGATTTAGGCTGTCATTTAATAAATATCTTCAGAGTATCTGTTGTGTTAGAAAGTAAGCAGGTCTATTTTAATTTCTCAACTATAAGAGACTTGTGGTGTAACATAGACAAAAGAAAAAAGATATAATGAGGATCTAATATTTCCCTATTGTTTATCCACACATTGTAGACTCAGAAGTGAACTGGAGATGGAGCTGGCATTGCTGCAGTCTGCGAAGGAACGATCAGGCAGGTGTCTGTGTGATGTCCTCTTGATGGGTGCTTTGCTGTGACCTTCATTATTTCACCTTGGCTGCCTGTCTGTCAACACGGGAGATGCTGATGCTCCCTCTGAGTTTTGCTGTGAGAATTCAACATGTTCACCCACATCACCCAAGATCATAGGGCCTGGCATGTGGTGGTCACTGCCTGTTTGTTCTTCATCTTTTTATTATTACTTGTGAGGAAGAATATGCATTTCATGGGAAATTAATTACATTTTATGAATATTTTATGAAATAGATATTAACATTTTATGAAATAGATAATAACATTATTTTGAATGTATACAATTTAGAATGCAATTAAATGATAAAAGTAAGTTTAAGTATCTTGCCCATTAACCTTGACTGTTTTCCAACTGTTAAATGAAATGCCATTTTCCCCCTGAGTTTGTTAAACACTCACTCATACTCTGTTTTTAGATATTTTTTTCTCAGCGTCTGGTAGGATATGCTCACAGGCCTATCCTGTTTTAAGTTCTTAGTAGAGCTTGGCCTCAAAGATCCTTGTCAGAGTGCTTTTACCACCTTTTTCCCCCTTCTGCCTGTTTCCTCTTTTCTACCTATGAGTAGCATGGGTGCTGTTAACCCTGCTGGATGTCTTTGCACAGGTTTCTTGTCACCTGATTTACATCCCCTTGTCCTGCCTGTTCTCTGTCCCAGGCTGACTCTGCTTCTCCTTCCATCCCTTCTCAGGGCTCAGAGGTCACCTGCTTCACTCCTTCTTCCACCATGTTGTTTGTTCTTTGTAGGGTTCCTCTCACAGACGTGAAATAAGACCCAGGCTTGGTGATTTCTGTTTCCTTGCTTTCTCTTAAAACAGGCCCACGATTTAAAAACAAAACAAAAAAACAAAAAGGCAGACACTTAAGGGCTTTACTGCTAGCCACTAATAAAAAAAAAAAAGGCAAATATTAATAAAAATAAAATGCAGTGACTAACTTTCTAGAACTCTAGTAATCTTTCTTTATGTTTGATCCTAGCCCACTGTTCCCATCACTCTTTCATTGCGATGGAACAAACCTGGTGCCCCTGGTTCTTCCTGCTTCATTCTTTTCCCAAAGCGTTCTATCGCAGGAGCCTGTTCCTCCAATCACACACATTTGCTGTGGAATGTCCCCATTTTCATACCTCAGTCTTTCCCTATAGTTATGTCTTGAGGGTAGAAAAGAGGTGAGGACAGAGGTCACTCCCTTGACTTGACACTCCTTTTTGCCTCTTTGAACTCAGCTGATGGTTTTGGGCTGAAACCTTCAGCTTCGGTTAAGGTGAAGAACACATACTTTATTTTGTAGTTTCTTCCAGTTTGTGTAGAAGCTTAACTATGACCACTTCTATCCCCTCAGCTAGCTCATCATGTGACTACTTAATTCCCCCACATTTCAAAATTTAATGTCAAAGTTTCTCCTTCTTCCAAATTTGGCAAAGTAGAATGATGGCAGTGGCTTCCTTCTTGTTTACTAGCTACAAGGAAGGGTTATTAATATTTCTAACTGTTTTGTTCCCATTGAAAAGTAATACTTGTTTTTTTCTCAAAAAATGAAGTCTCACCACTCTAATTAGTATATAACTGTGCTGATTGACGACAAATTGGCCTTAGCAGTGGATCACTTGATGTCTCCATTTCCTTTCTGTACTCCTTAAATGTTGATATTCTTTGGAGTCTAGTATCTCTTTGGAAGAGTTTTTTTTTTTTTAATTCCAAATCTATTTTACCTGCTAAAAACCTTTCTTTTTTTGCTTGAGATCTGTATATCCAAATGCCTATTAGACGTGGCCTCTTGAGTGTACCATAGGTATTTCAACATGTCTGAGATTAAACTCATCATCTCATTCTCTAAATGGGCATCTCCCTGGCTATTTCAATCGATGGTATCACCAAACACATGGAGATGAAAATCATAAAACATGTGCCAGGCAACTTTCACTCTCCTACCCCTCAACCTCTTCCAACACAGCTTGAAATAAGTGGCCAAGTTGGGATTGAAACCAAGTTCTTTCTTTCCTCCATGCTTCATCGAACTCATTGTTTTCTTTCTAGCTACAACTGAGCTAAAACCTAGGGCTTATTTTTGACATTGCCTTCTTCTCTACACTGCCAGATCTAGTCAATTACTAAGGTCTATTTTCTTTTTCTATTTCCTAAATAGTTTATTTATTTTTTTATTTTTTTCACTTCTCTTCATGTTGGGAGTGCTATTCTGACATGCTTTGGCTCTGTGTCCCCACCCAAATCTCATCTTGAATTGTAGCTCCCATAATTCCTATGTGTTGTGGGAGGGACCTGGTGGGAGATAATTGAATCATGGGGACAGTTTCCCCCATAGTGTTCTCATGCTAGTGAATAAGTTTCATGAGATTTGATGGTTTTATTAGGGGTTTCCCCTTTTGCATCTTCCTCATTCTGTCTTCGACTGCTGCCATCCATGTAAGACGAAACTTCCTCCTCCTTGCCTTCTGCCATGATTGTGAGGCTTCCCCAGCCACGTGGAACTGTAAGTCCAATTAAACCTCTTTTGTTTGTACATTGCCCAGTCTCCCATATGTCTTTATCAGCGACATGAAACAGACTAATACATATCCTGACCCAATCAACCTATGTGAATGATTGCCATAGCTTCCCAACAGGTCTCTCTGAGTCTAGTCTTGTGCTGTCTGATCCACTTTCAGGACACAATTTCACTGGAGACAGTGATCATTATCTGATTGTATCTCTCCCCATATTAAAAGCTCTCAACAGCTTTGACTGATTTCTTAACATAGGTCACAAGTCTTCTCAGATCTGCCCCCCGTTTCCCTCCTAGCATCGTCCCTCAATATCTAAATTCTGTCTTCTGCTCTCTCCCCAAACCCTTCTGTTTGTCTAACTTCTCTTTATCCTTTGTGTTTCAACCTAATCACACTTCTCTGGCAAAGTCATCCTTGAGCCTTCCTCATGCTGTGTCTGATATTCTTGCCTTTGTCTTACCATAATTGCACCTTCTACTCTGCCACCGTCACTCTCTTATTGTTTCTTGTTGGTTTGCACTACTTAATCACACACTCTGGAAAAGGCTAATTCACCATTGAACCTTTCTACTTAACCCAGTGTCTGCACAAAAATGTGTTCAACAAATATGTACTGATTAGAGGAATGAATTAAAGGAGGAATACCCTCATTCTTGGGTCAGATTATTTTTATTGACATGCTTCGAGTTTGAATTATATTTTATAGTTATATATACTATAGCATACATAATATTGTTAATAATACATAATGCTATTAATAATGAGATATTAAACACAGTAATACTTTGTTTTTAAAAATATTTCCAGAATCATCTGAGAAACATATAATTGATGAGAACCAACTTACTCTTATTGAGAAGGTTGAAAAGAAGAGGTGTGAAATACTCAGTAAGTGGGATGAAATACAAGCTCTGGAAAAAGAAATTAAAACAACTTTGGTTCATACTGGAATTTCAGATATCACTGAGAATAGGATTAAAAGCATAGAGGTATGCAACTTATTTATTTAAATATTTACATTATTCTTTTGCCTAAAGACCTCAGCAAACACTTGAAGTAATGTGATTTGGTCATAGGGTAACAAAATCATAAAATTTGGTCCAAATATACTTTTTATTTCAAAATGTTTATAGCAAATAATCATAATAATTAAGAGATCTATCTAAAATAAGAAAAAGGGAAAGTGATAAAAATTCTATTGATTTCTGTTAATAGCCAAAACCTAACTTTTTGAGTAACATGGACATATAGAGTGGAATAATAGCCATTGAAGACTCCAGAATGTGGGCATGTGGAAGGGGGATGAGGGATGAAATACTACCTACTGGGTACACTGTACTCTATTTGGGTGGTGGTACACTAAAGCCCACCATTACATATATATCCATGTAATACAACTGCACTCGTACCCCTAAATCCATAAAAGTTAAAAAATTTCAAAACATAATTTTAAATTGTGTAGAATATAACTCAATGTAACCTCCAGTTATAGAGTATATAAGAAATACATGATTTTTTTTATTGTGGTTCTATAGGTAAGCATATTTTTCCAGCACTACTTTTATTGTTTTTAGCAGAATTATAGAACATATACAAAGGTGTTGGTGGTCCAACCTTTTTTTATGAAAAAATTATCCCTTTCTGTTTTACAATATTATGTTCAGATGTTCTTTTTTCTTTTTTTCTTTCTTTCTTTTTTTTGGGGGGGGAGGGGGGACATGGCTGTGTGCCAACAAAACTTTATTTACAGTAACAGGTGCAGACTGAATTAGTTTGTTGACCCCTGTTTTAGAAGAAATTATTTAAATATAGAGGAAATGCTATGGTTCACTGTTATAAGAATGAAATATTAATGGATGAAATAATCATACTGATTCTAGCCTTATTTTAACAGGTGAAGTTTTTACATTTATTTACTTTTTATTTTTTTCTATTTTAAGTAACAGAGTACATGTGCAGATGTGCAGATTTGTTACACAGGTAAATGTATGCCATGGTGATTTGCTGCACCTATCATCCCATCACCTAGGGATTAAGTGCAACATGCATTAGCTATTTTTCCTGATGTTTTACCTCCCTTCACCCTGCCGACAGCCCTCAGTGTGTGTTGTTCCCCTCCCTGTGTCCATGTGTTCTCATTGTTCAGCTCCCACTTATAAGTGAGAACATGTGGTGTTTGGTTTTCTGTTCCTGCATTAGTTAGCTGAGGATAATGGCTTCCAGTTCCATCCATGTCCCTACAAAGGACATGCTCTCATTCCTTTTTATGGCTGCATAGCATTCCATGGTGTATATGTACCACATTTTAAAAATCTAATGTATCATTGGTGGGCATTTGGGTTCATTCCATGTCTTTGCTATTGTGAATCATTCTGCAATGAACATATATGTGCATGCATCTTTATAATAGAATGATTTATATTCCTTTGGCTATATACAAAAGGGATTTGGGTTTGCTGGGTCAAATGGTATTTTGAGTTCTAAATCTTTGAGGAATTGCCACACTGTCTTCCACAATCGTTGAATTAATTTACGTTCCTACCAACAGTGTAAAAGCATTCCTGTTTCTCCACAACTTTGCCAGCATCTGTTGTTTCTTGACTTTTTAATAATTGCCATTCTGACTGGGGTGAGATGGTATCTCATTGTGGTTTTGATGTGCATTTCTCTGATGATCAGTGATGTTGGGCTTTTTTTATATGCTTGTTGGCCACATGTATGTCTTCTTTTGAGAAGTGTCTGTTCATGTCCTTTGCCCACTGTTTAATGGGGTTGTTTGTTTTTTCTTGTAAATTTGTTTAAGTTCCTTGTAGATTGTGAATATTAGATATTTGCCAGATAAATAGATGGCAAAAATTTTCTCCCATTCTGTGGGTTGTCTGTTTGCTCTGATGATAGTTTGTTTTGCTGTGCAGAACTCTTTAGTTTAATTAGATCCCATCACCAATTTTTGCTTTTGTTGCAATTGCTTTTGATGTTTTCATCATGAAATCTTTGCCCATGCCTGTATCCTGAATGGTATTGCTTAGATTTCTTCTAGGGTTTTATAGTTTTGGGTTTTACATTTAAGTGTTTAACCTATCTTGAGGTATTTTTTGTATAGGTGTAAGAGAGGGGTCCAGTTTCAATTTTCTGCATATGGCTAGCCAGTTCTCCCAGCACCATTTATTAAATAGGGAATCCTTTCCCCATTGCTTGTTTTTGTCAGGTTTGTCAAAGATCAGATGGTTGTAGGTGTGCAGTCTTATTTCTGAGTTCTCTATTCTGTTCCATTGGTCTATATGTCTGTTTTTTGTACCAGTACCATGCTGTTTAGGTCACTGTAGCCTTGTAGTATAGTTCGAAGTCAGGCAGTATGATGCCTCCAGCTTTCCTCTTTTTGCTTAGTGTTGTGTTGGCTATAGGGGATCTTTTTTGTTTCCATATGAAATTTAAAATAGTTTTTTTCTAATAATGTGAAGAATGTTAATGATAGTTTAATGGGAATAGCATTGAATGTATAAACTACTTTGGGAAGTATTGCCATATTCATGATATTAATTCTTCCTATCCATGAGCATGGAGTGTTTTTCCATTTGTTTGTGTCCTCTCTGATTTCCTTGAGTAGTGGTTTGTAGTTCTCCTTAAAGAGGGACTTCACTTCTCTTGTTGGCTATATTCCTAGATATTTTGTTCTCTTTATAGCAACTGTGAATGGGAGTTCACACAAAATTGGGCCCTCTGCTTGTCTGTTGTTGGTTTACAGGAATGCTTGCAATTTTTGCATATTGATTTTGTATCCTGAGACTTTGCTGAAGTTGCTTATCAGCGTAAGAAGCATTGGGGCTGAGATGATGGGATTTTCTAGATAGAGAATCATGTCATCTGCAGAGACAATTCGACTTCCTCTCTTCCTATTTCAATGCCCTTTATTTCTTTGTCTTGCCTGATTGCCCTGGCAATCAGAACTCCCAATAGCATGTTGAATAGGAGTGATGAGGGAGGGCATTCTTATCTTGTGTATGCCGATTTTAAAGGGGAATGCTTCCAGCTTTTGCCCAGTCAGTATGATATTGGATGTGGGTTTGTCATAAATGGTTCTTACTATTTTGAGATGTGTTCATCAATACCTAGTTTTTTGAGAGTTTTAAACATGCAGGGATGTTGAATTTTATAGAAGGCCTTTTCTGTGTCTATTCAGATAATCATGTGGTTTTTGTCTTTAGTTCTATTTATGTGATAAATTTTACTGATTTGTGTATGTTGAACCAGCCTTGCATCCTGGGGGTGAAGCCAACTTGATGGTGGTGAATAAGCTTTTAGATGTGCTGCTGGATTCGGTTTGCCAGTATTTTATCAAGGATTTTTGCATTGATGTTCGTCAGGGATATTGGCGGAAGTTTTCCATTTTTGTTGTATCTTTTCCAGTTTTGGTATCAGGATAATGCGTGCCTCATAAAATGAGTTAAGGAGGAGTCCCTCCTTTTCAATTATTTGGAAGTGTTTCAGAAGAAATGGTGCCAGTTCCTCTTTGTACCTCTGGTAGAATTCAGCTGTAAATCCATTTGGTCCTGGGCCTTTTTTTTTTTTTTTTTTTTTTTTAATTTGTGAACTATTTATTACTGCTTCAATTTCAGAACTCATTATTGGTCTATTCAGGGATTCAACTTCTTCCTGGTTCAGTCTTGGGAGGGTGCATGTGTCCAGAAATTTATCTATTTAATCTAGATTTTCTAGTTTATTTGCATAGAGGTGTTTTAGCATTCTCTGATGGTTGTATTTCTGTGGGGGTCAATGGTGATATTCCCTTTATCGTTTTTTATTTTGTCTATTTGATTCTTCTCTCTTTTCTTCTGTGTTAATCTAGCTAGTGGTCTATTTATTTTATTAAGTTTTTCAAACACTATCTCCTAGATTCACTGATTTTTTGAAGGGTTTTTCGTGTCTCTATTTCCTTCGGTTCTGCCCTGATCTTGGTTATTTGTCTTCTGCTTGCTTTGGGGTTTGTTTGCACTTGGTTCTCTAGTTCTTTTAGTTGTGATGTTATGTATTGATTTGAGATCTTTCTAGCTTTCTGATGTGGGCAATTAGTGCTATAAATTTCCCTCTTAACACTGCTTTAGCTGCATCCCAGAGATTCTGGTATGTTGTCTGTTCTTATTAGTTTCAAAGAGCTTCTTGATTTCTGCCTTAATTTTTTTATTTACCCAGAAGTCATTCGGGAGCAGGTTGATCAATTTCCATGTAGTTGTGTGGTTTTGAGTGAGTTTCTTAATCTTGAGTTCTAATTTGATTGCATGTGGTCTGGGAGACTGTTTGTTATGATTTCAGTTCTTTTGCATTTGCTGAGGAGTGTTTTACTTCCAATTATGTGATTGATTTTACAGTAAGTGCCATGTGGTTAAGTATTGACCCTCAATTTCTTCTGACTTGTAAGGTTTCCACTGAGAGGCATGCTGTTAGTCTGATGGGTTTCCCTTTGTAGGTGACCTGGTGCTTTTCTCTGGCTATCCTTAACATTTTTTTCCTTCATTTCAACCTTGGAGAATCTGATGATTATGTATATTGGGGTTAATCTTCTCATGGAGTATTTGACTGCAGTTCTCTGGATTTCCTGTATTTGAATGTTGGCCTGTCTTGCTAGGTTGGGGAAGTTCTCCTGGATGAAATACTTAAGTATGTTTTCAAACTTGGTTTTATTCTCCCCATCTCTTTCAAGTACCCCACTCAGTGGTAGTTTCAGTAATTTTACATAATCCCATAGTTCTCAGAGGTTTTTAAAATTCCTTTCATTCTTTTTTCTTTAATCTTGTCTGCCTGTCTTTTTTCAGCAAGATATTCTTCAAGCTCTGAGATATTTCCTCCACTTGGTCTATTTGGCTATTGATACTGGTGGTTGCATTGTGAAGTTCTTGAGTTGTGTTTTTCGACTCCATCAGGTCATTTATGTTTCTCTCTAAACTGGGTATTCTGGATAACAACTCCTATAATGTTTTATCATGGTTCTTAGTTTCTTTGCATTGCATTAGAACATACTCCTTTAGCTCAGTGAATTTTGTTATTACCCACCATCTGAAGTCTACTTCTGTCATTTTATCTATCTCAGCCTCAGCCTAGTTCTATGCCCTTGCTGGAGAGGTGTTGAGATAATTTGGAGGAGAAGAGGCACTCTGGTTTTTTGAGTTTTCAGCGATTTTGCATTAATTCTTTCTCATCTTCATGTCCTTATCTACCTTTGATCTTTGAGGCTGCTGACCTTTGGATGGGGTTTTGGTGAGGTCTCATTTGTTGATGTTGTTATTGTTGCTTCCTGTTTGTTTGCTTTTTTAACAGGCCCCTCTTCCATAGGGTTGCTGCAGTTTGCTGGGGGTCCACTTCAGACTCTATTCACTTTGGTCCCTCTAGCACCTGGAGGTGTCAGAAATGGAGGCTGCGGAACAGCAAAGATTGCTGCCGACTCCTTCCTCTGGGAGCTTTGTCCCAGAGGGGCTCTAACCTGATTACAACAGAAACGCTTTTGTATAAGGTGTCTAGCAATCCCTGTTAGGAGGTCTCACCCAGTCAGGAGTGCTTAACGAAGCACTCTGGCTGCTACTTGGTGGAGCAGGTGCACTGCGCTTGCAGAAATCCCCCTTATCCAGACTGACTAGACTCTTCAGAGCCAGCAGACATTCTGTCCATAAGCCCCTGCTTGGGACCCAAGACCCTGATGGTGTGGGCTCATGAAGGGATCTTCTGATCTGCAAGTTGCACAGACCTGTGGAAAAAGCATGGTTCCCCAGGCAGGGTAACACCATCACTCACCACCTCCCTTGTCTGGGAGTGGAAGGTCCCCTTGCGGCTCCCAGGTGGGCCACCTCTTCACCCTGCTTTTTCTTGCTCTCTGTGGGTCGTGCCAACCAGCTAGTCAGTCCCAATGAGAGAACCTGGATACTTCAGCTAAAGAGGTAGGATTCACTTGCCATTTTCATTCCTGTCTGTGGGAGCTGCTGACAGCAGCTGCTTCTAGTTGGCATCTTGGCCCCTCCCTGCAGATTTTCTTCTGTGTTTTTTTGTTTAGGGTTTGCTCTCCTTTATTTCTTTCAGAAAATAAGTGTTCTCAGAACAAGCATCAATTTATAATTGCATTTTTAAACAGTAATGGGTTCTAAATTTAAATATTCAAGCATGATATGTCAGAATCATGTAGACTATTCTTTCATAATTAAAACCTCTTTAGATAAATCAAATCTAAGAAATAGAAAACTCCCTATGAAGATTCCATATCACTAATTTATATTACTTTAATTACTTCTTATTTATATTTGGCTGCTTAATTCAAATACTGGAAAATACAATAGAGTTGCTATTGTTATTCTGTCATGTAATTGGTATCTGGTTCTAGATTTGAAATAGACCATTTCCAACCAGGTAAAAAAAAAAGAGCTGAATATATTGAGGATTTACAATGTATCAGACACTTTTATGAACCTTAAAAAATATAGAATATAGTTTCATTTAATTTGCAGCAACCCTAACAGGTGGCTGCTATTATTAATCCTCTTTTTGAAGTACAGAAATGAGGCACAAATATGCTAAGTAACCTGATTGAGGTCACAGTTAGCAAGTAGTAGACTTAGTATTAAAACTCAGCCTTGGTTCTTAATGATACCCCATTCAGCCTAGCTATTACACTTGCTAATACTTTTCAACATATCTAATACCTGAAAGAGCAAGTCTTTATACCCTCTGCTCATCATTATTTTGTTCACAATTATCCTGAATATTCTCATTAACAGTATTGACTAATTTTTGAAGTTCTGATAATAATACTTTTGGTATTTTGATTGTGCTTACAATGAATTTATAAATGCATTTGGATATTTATATTGACAGTGACAGCTTTACAATATTAATACTCTTATTTGGGATTATTTTATTCTTAATTTATTTTTATAACAGTGCAAGATAATTATGTTACGTTTGTTCTTATGAGTTTATGGGAGGTATTACTATTAAAACTGATAATTTAAAAAATTCCCCTTACAGTTTATAATCAGTTATTGCTGATATGTGTGTGATTTATTGATATTTGTATTTTTATATTTTTCCAGCCCTCTTAACAAATTCTATCATTAGTTCTGAAAAGTGAAGAGCTCTTCACTTCTGGAATTTCTCTAAAATTTTCTGATATTTTGAAACACCAATTTCCTCCTCTCCTAGTTTGTTACCCAGAGGACCAAGATCTTTCCTTCTCATTAATTGTCCTTCATTTTATGCTTTGTTTCTTAATCTGTTTTTAAGTAGTGTGCTATTGAGTACTCTTGAAATTATAATATCATTCACATAATCTTGTTAAATAGAGAAAAATAGTTAACAAATATTTTTAACCAAGTATATTGCTTTTAAAACAACCTGTCTTCCAGCATGAAGCTATACAATTAGAAACAGAAAATATGATTTTAAAGAAGAAAATAAAAGTAAGTTTTTTTGTGTGAATCAATGTTTATCAATAAAAATATTTCCTTTAGTGCCTGCTTGTCCTGTGTAATAAGCATGACCAACTGATCGTAATTCTTTGTAGGTTACAGAAAACCATGTGAAGCAGATCATAGGAAAGATCAGTGAAGAGGGGCAGGAGTAAGTATTGACATGATAAAACAGCTAGAGCAGTATCATGCTGTTCTCACGATCAGTTATTCAAAACTAGATTAGACTAGACAGACCTTTGAAGGGTTTACACTCATGAATGCTTACATTAAATACACATGTTACATCCTTTTCTGTGCTTTGGAATGCTCAGTCTAAGATTTAGACCTCAATCTGTATACTTTATTTAGTCATATATAAATGAATGTATTGGATAAAGCTGGAGGTGAGGGCGAATTCACCTGGGCAGGAATCAGGAACGTGAGAAGGCATGGCTTTATTTTCTCCAATCATATGGCGTTTAGTGATGTTAAATCTTTGAAAACCCCTATGCGAATATTGCTCTGAAAATTCTAGTTTAAAAAGTAAGTGGCTGATTTATATCATTTGTTTATAACTAAATGTATAATATTGGTATAAATTTATTATTATTTACATTATAAGCTTATACTTCATACAGTTACTTTTCTTTGAGTTGGTACTATAGTTTGAATCTCAGAATTTGGTATTATTAAGAGCAATGGAAAACCATATGATGATTTAAATAGGGAAAGACTTATTTGTATCAACAGGAAAAAGACTTTTAGGTGTAGGTAGCTTGGGCTCAATGACATAATTAAGGAACTAGGGCTCCTCACCTTTCTTCCCCGCTTTCCTTTGAGTGTGGCTGCCGCCTCTTCAGAGTCTCAATATGGTTGTCTTCAGGCATTAACTGGGTCTGCTTTCCATGGATTAAGAAAGGGAAAGGTGAATGACAGATGGCAAAGAGCTTCTCATTTTGAGGCTTTCCATTTTATTCAGGAAGGACAGTTCTTTACAGATGCTTCCACCCACATCTCATTGGCCAGCACCATGGGCCAAGGCCAGTCTCTGCTGTCAGAGAGGCCAGAACATAGAGCATCCCACTCTCCAGCTTATGGGGCAGAAAAAGCCATGGAAGAAAGGGATTGGATAGAGTGCTAAGTGAGCCATACAGATGGATCTAGGTTTTGTGGTTCCTTATATCATGTTGGGTGTTCTTAAAAAGAGGGAATAGAGTTACAAATACAAAACTGGGGAAGCACGTCCCATGGCCTTGCAATGAGAGTGAATGGACTAAAGCATATCATTATGTTCGTGGTACACCTACTTCCCATGCCACACTATATGCGACAGGGGAAAACATCTATTTAGAGAATCTGTTACATTCAAGGCCAAAACTCCCTCAAAATATGTTTTAAAAAAGTAAATTATTACAAAGTCTCATCTTGTCTATTTTTGTGTAAATGTGTCTAGAATAGAAGCTTACTTTGAAATTTTCTTTCATGCTTAATGTATTTTTCCCTCACCTGTGGTATTCATTTCTTATGTATTTTAAGGGGCCTTTGGAAATTTATCAAGGAATTTGTAAAATCAGAGGACACAGAAGATAACGCTCAAGCAACTGAACAAATGGCCAATGAAAATTCTTTACTTCCATGTATGTAGCATGGATATTTGCAGATGTATATACATTCATAAAGATACATTTTGTTTCATCAGCTTTAATCTCTGGTAAAATTAATGTGGTATATGTATCTTACTCAGGATACTGAAATACACACATGCATACACATGATTAGTTTCTACTGTTGCATACATATTTACAGCAATACTGGTTCTTAATGTATGTTTTACTTTCATTTAATAATGTTCTACTGTGGAAAATACTTTTGATTATTTGCTAAGAATGAGGAATTCAGCACTGCTTGAATACAGCTCAAATTTGTTTATTTGCCAACTCACGTTTATATGTATGCATTTAATAAAATTTGGTAGTGATTTAATTAATATCCCTTTAATTAAATAATCTTTACTGATTGGAAATGATACAGTGCTCCAGAAACGTTATACTAGCATTGTGTTTTGTACTGCATCTATCTTGGCTGATGGTGATCCTGATGACAACGTTGTGACTTGGGATTTTTATTTATTCCTACTTTGCCTATGAACTAGTCTAAAAATCTAGAGTAAATGCAAGCTTGAATTCTTTGGACAATCCTATATAGGGTGATTTTTTTGTTTCTTTGAGACAGTCTTACTCTGTCTCCCAGGCTGGAGTGCAATGGCACGATCTGGGCTCACTGCAACCTCTACTTCCTTGGTTCAAGCAGTTCTCCTGCCTCACTCAGCCTCCTGAGTAGCTGGGATCACAGGTGTGTGCCACCACACCCGGATAATTTTTGTATGTTTAGTAGAGACAGGGTTTCACCATGTTGGCCAGGCTGGTCTTGAACTCCTGACCTCAAGTGACCCTCCCACCTTAGCCTCCCAAAGTGCTGGGTTTATAGGGGTGAGCCACCATGCCCTGCCTATAGGGCGATTTTGAAGATCAAGTGTAAGTGGTAAAGTACACATATGAGGGATTTGATTCTAATTTGGAATAGTAGAGCTTGAGGTGAGAGAGACAAGAAAGAGAAAGAGAGAGAGAGATTGGCTTTCTACAGATCAGGAAGTCACTGTCAGGGAGGTGTGCTCCTCAGATTCTCTTTAAGATCCATTAGTTCTTTCTCCCCTCACTCTGCTTTTAGAAGTAAAACTGTGGCAGCTACTGAAAATGTTTCCCATATATGGAAATCAACTGGACTTTATTAGCATACATTGAGTTCTCTGTGTTCCAGTTGCTTTCTTTTGGTTATTCATGTCCACTGGGTACCATCTCTCTCATTATACAGGGGAGAGAACTGAAATATGAAGTGCTGAATTGATTTGTTTCAACTACCTTGTAAACGATGGAGCTGGGATCTGAATCCAGGTTTGGCTGACCCAGTTACTAAACTCTTATCACCAAATCATGCTGCATCATTTACATATATGACCAGGAGAGATATAGGAAAATGAATGTATGCATTGCCAAACAGTGACATAAAGACCACCGGAACTAAAATCAAACAAACAGTGCTGAATTTATTAGCTGGACAAACAGGAGAGAACCATATACCCAAGAGGTTCACGGAGTCTCCAATTTGAAAGAAAAGAGCTGGATATAGAGGCAAAAGGGGTGCCTTATTCCATATTAACAGGACTTTGGGCAAAAGGGGTGCATTATTCCATATTAATGGAACTTTAGGCATTAAATTTGGAATGGATTTGTAGTGGAGGTGAGGGGGCTGGAAATTACTTTTTTGGATTGGCTATTATTCTGGCTAAAGTCACAAAAGCACAGTTTTCCAAGAGATCTGAGGAAGGTTATAGTAAAGCTTTGTCAAGATCAAAGTCTTGTGACAGGTGCTTTGATATATGCATTCTGGGAACTCATAAAATTTTCCTCTAAAAATGGATGTGAAATCCTACCATTTATTTATATACATTCATCATATCAACGTTCAAGTATATTTCAGATTGCCAGTAGTTGGATGTATAGAGATTAAGAAGACATGGTTCTAATCCTTAGGGAGCTTAAAGTTTGTTGCACAGACCTGTGAGAAAAACAACAGCAGCAAAGAAAGTCTGATAAAGCCAAATGCATGAAGAATGTAGATAGGCAAATTCTCACCTACTGCTGGAAGAAGTGTGATTTGGTAAGGACATTTAGCAAAGTAATTTGACAACAAGCTGCGTGGATCACTGAGTATGTGTGTGGGTTCCCAATATAGCCCAGCCCTTCTTGCACTTAAGCAGGACGATGTAGCTTGTTTGGGTCAATATGGGTTTGTTGTGATAATGCATTATAAGAAAGATGATGAGCTTATACAGACAGATTAGTTTATTTGTAAAATGAAATAAAAAATAGAGTCAGAAATTTGGATCTCTCAGTGTGTAAAAAAGTGACTACTTTTGGCCCCAGATTTAAGGGTTGAGATTTTTAAATACCTGTGATCTGATTAAGTGTCTGAAAGAGTAGATTACAGGTGGGGCCTTTCCATCAAAGCTCTTCAGCCTAGGGAGGGTATCTTTGACTTAAAAATGAGAGACGAGGGCCCAGTGCAGTGGCTCATGCCTGTAATCCCAGCACTTTGGGAGGCCAAAGCAGATGGATCACAAGGTCAGGAGTTTTGAGACTAGCCTGGCCAACATGGTGGAACCCCATCTCCACTAAAAATACAAAAACAAAAAAAATTAGCTCAGTGTGGTGGCAGGTGCCTGTAATCTCAGCTACTTGAGAGGCTGAGGCAAGGAGAATCGCTTGAACCTGGGAGGTGGAGGTTGCAATGAGCCGAGATCGCACCAGTGCACTCCAGCCCAGGAGACACTGTGAGACTCTGTCTCAAACAAACAAACAAACAAACAAACAAAAAAGAGTGAGAGATGAGAAATAAGAATGAGAAAGCAAAGAAAAAGATCTGAGAGCTTCACTAAATGAGCTGCGGACACACGGAACTAACGGCTCGCAAACAGACTGGAAGGCTACCGAGTTTTCAAAGGAGTTCTACTGCCAAGGAAATCAAGGTAAGAAAAGCCCATTACTATTCAAAACCTAAAACAATCCTTGGTCCCCCACCTTCCATGAGGACGAGGAGGAAGGAAGTTGAGGAATCTGTATGTCTCCCGGGGCCAGGAGGGGGCGCATTCCCCAAGGCCTATTTCCATTTCAGATGTGTCTGGGGGAGACAAAAGAAGCCCAGCCCAGGGACAAGGACAGTGGAGAGGGGGCTTCGTCCAGAGCCACATCAGGGCTTAATAACCAAGGAGCACTGACTGCTTCTTGGTAGGGGACCCCGACAGTGTCTTTTCAACAGGACTTTAGAAATTGTACAGGCCAAGAACTGCTGCGTGGTGGGGGTGGGGGTAGTGGTGGTGGAGATAGAGGTTGTGGTGATGGTGCTAGTGTGTGTTTCTGTGTGTGGGTGTGTGTGTGTCTTATGGTGCTGGTGGAGATTACAGGTAGGGAGAGCAGGAGTTGAAGGCAGAGATCAGGTGGAGGAGAGAAGGAGCTGGTGGTACTGATTGTAAGTGGAGAGGAACAGAAATGAAAGATAGAGATAGAAGCTGGAAGGATTCTGGGCGTGGTGGCTCATGCCTGTAATCCCAGCACTTCTGGAGGCCGAGGTGGGCAGATCACTTGAGCCCAGGAGTTTGAGACCAGCCTAGCCAACATGGTGAAACCCTGTCTTTACTAAAAATACAAAAATTAGCTGGGCGTGGTGGCGGACACCTGTCATCCCACCTACTCAGGAGGCCGAGGCAGGAGAATTGCTTGAACCTGAGTGCCAGAGATTGCAGTGAGCCAAGATCGCACCATTACACGCCAGCCTGGATAACAGAGTAAGACTCTGTCTCAAAAAAAAAAAAAAAAAAAAAAAAGAATCTGCAAGAGAGAGGTTGACGAGTGAGATAGTAGTTGTGGGGAGCAGAAGTTGAAGGTGGAGAAGGAGTGGAAGGCAGAGTGAGCCAGACTCACTGCTGGCTATGGTCTGAAGTGTGAGTGAGAGCATAAAATCAACGGTGCCTGGGGGCTTTGTGTCTGAGCACTGAATTGGAGCTGACTTCGGGAGGTGCTGATTTTAGGAGATGGTGGAGAGCATGGAGTGGGAGAGAATCATGAACTTTTAGTTAATTTGTAAAGACCCTTAATGGTGCTTTAAAATGAAATTTTATCTCACCATTTTAATTCAATATCTTTGTTTATTACCAATACTGATTGTCTTAAAATATGAGGCCAAGCCCAATTAACTCAAATCACACTTTAAATATAAATGTACTCTACCAGGGAAATAATCCATAACTCACTTAAAAATGACATACTAGTAATGTTAACACTCGCATTTAGGGTTGATCTCTTTGACGTTCACACTTTAAAATAATGTTCTGCCTGTTTATGTGTGCAATGGGACTCAGCATCTAATGCCATTTATATTCTCATAAAAGGATCAGTTTGTTAAAACTACAGATGAACTTCTCTCAAACTCCTAAAAGGGTTTCAATGTCATAGAGATGCAAATACTATGTTCAATGGATTTAAATTTTTCTTCAAAACTGAGCAACTTAAAATATGTTAGCTATTTTTTCTTTCTTCGACGATTTTTCTGGCACATAGCAGATACAGTGCTCAATAACTGTTTTTAATTGACTGACTGCCCATATGTGTCGTAACATTTGTTTTATGGGTATTTCGTTTTAATTCTATGTAGCTTGGCACATTTACACGGTGTAGCATTCAGCAAATACAAATAATTGAATTCTATGTGGAATAAGAGCAATTTAAACAACTGGATTTAAGTTTCCTAAGTAATCATAAATCTGCTTACCTGTGAGTAATATATCAGATGTGCAGTATTAGTTGCTACTTTATTTCTTTAAAACAAGAAAGATGAAATCTGTTCTGTTTATGATTTTATTTTATTTTATTTTTTGTCTTTTTTTTTTTCCTTTTTGTGGAGAACGGGATCTCGCTATATTACCCAGGCAGGTCTCGAACTCCTGGGCTCAAGCTATCCTCCCGCCTCTGCCTCCCTGAGAGCTGGGATTACAGGCGTGAGCCACTGCGCCCGGCCCTGTTTATGATTTTAAAAGAAAGCTCAATTTTTTTTTCCTGAGGTGCATTCCTGCTTAGTGGGGCTGCGATGTATTTATGGATATGAGGGTTTCACTCTACTGGATCAGGCTAATTGCCCAGCTTAACTGACTGGAGTACAACTGATTATATGTGTACTTCTGACCAGCCAGCTGGTGAGTGGGCGGCAGCACTCATCAGGAGGAATAGGAGAGCTGTAATATGTTCCCAGGTCTCAGAACTGTTAGAACCTCTTGGATGCATCTGGCTGGCCTTTCCCTCAGAAGAATCATGTCCTCATTTTACAGAGGAAAACGTTTTGGCCCAGCTGTGGGGGGCTGAAGCCCCAGGGATCAAAGGTGGCCCAGCAAGGTTGACCCAAGTCCTTACTACTACTGGACATAAATCACGTTTCCTCCGTGAGGGTCACGGGTGAAGGGGGTCATGGACAAAGGATGTCAGCGGAGGCCAATGATGCAAACGAGAGGTCTTTTCACGTGTCCTTCGCTGTAGGGACATCTCCATGGCCCCACCTCAACCCTGCAGCCTCACTCTCCTCTACAAAAGAATCTCCGACTTTGATTCTTACTTTGCGGAAGGCAGTACTGAGGCCATCTGAGAAGAGCGCTCTTCTTTTTGTGCCT